CCTTGGTCTCAATTCAAAAAAGCTATCTATCCCATTGGCAGTTCCAAAAAAATGGCCCACAAATTAATGATTATGTTTCCAATAAAGGATATAGATGTAACATTGATTAAAGTATGTGGACTAATTGTTAGTTTCATGAATCCTAAAATAGTTGCTATACATATTCTTACTGACATAAAAATAAGCTTGAATCTCCATTTAAAACATAAGCCTATATTAGGCAACTTAAGAATTAAATATCTCATTTATATTGCAATCTTCTTCAAAAGCTAGTCTTTGAAGTAATAGCATTTTGAAAGCAAAGTGAAAGTATTAACACCATATGTAATCATTCAGGGGTGATGTCTCAAAGATTGACAGATTTCTTCTGATTTATGCTATTGATTCTGCAGGAAAAGGGGATCCTATGTTCTATCTTCTGGATATTCAGATTTCTGTAATTTAAAGTAAAAGTTAAATTGCATTGAGTATTTTATATATATTTGAATTCTTACCACCAATGGTCTTAGAAACTCAACTTAAGAGCAGACCCACCTCTATCTTCAACTATTTCAAAAAGACTAGCTATATATAGAAGCTTTGGGACTCACAAATCGTCTGTTCGTCACCTTATTTTATGTCTCTTCTCTAGTTCTCATCCGTTTCTTGGTTTATTGGTTTACTGATTCATTCCAAGGTGACTGGCTACTCAAAGACTCTCCGATGTGAGTCATTAAATACTTTGTATTTCCCTTTGTTCACAGATATCTTTTTGGTAGCACTATCTCTATTGCATTGTCTCTCTAAATTATAACAGGTCCTTTACATGTGATTCTTGCCTTTATTCAGTTCCAAAGACTTTGTGATGGTCACTCTCTGTTTTTAAGTCCTGACAGGCTGATCACTGATAGAGTTCCCAAGATTAAGAATAGCAGCTTTCAAGTTACTGTGATTATATACTTGCTTGATTTTTACGTGGGTATTGCCAGTTGGATTTAATGAATGTTCATTTAATCAGGACTCAAATTCACTGGTTTTGATGTTATGATCTCAGATTTCTGTCCTTCAACAACACAGCCAATCTGATCAATTCAGATAAGTCCTTTAAAAGAAAGTACCATTCTTAGTTCTTACGTAGATTGTGGCTACCCAGATGCCTTTTTTCTTTTTCCTATCTGGCATCATCAAATGGTTGTATTAGTTAGCATTTTGGTCGCTGCATTTTGAAACAAGCCAGAGATTCAAAGGAAAGAAATTTGTAAGAAAACAAGCCTGGTTACCATGGCAAATAGATGTACAGTATTTCCCGGAGAAATGTAAGTCATTGATCAGGATTTTTATCACATTGTCAGTCATCTTTGATATCTTGAAATACATCTATTTTAATATGAATCAGATTATAATACTCAATAGAAATATGAAGTTATGGCCAACATAGAATTCCTACATTCTAAAATGAATAAATATAGTTTTGAGCCAGAGAAAGAAAATACTAGACAGGTTTCCAAACTATACGGACAACCAAGAAAGACTGACAGTCCATATAGTTTAAAGACAGCTAGGAACCGAAGTTGGTGCAATAAATTCAGTGATGCAGAGCAGAGTATGGTGGGAATAAGTGATACCTAAACTACAACTAAACAAAGTAAAATGCATCCAAAATGGGTTTACAGTTAATGACTAAACATTCATTTAATTGCAAAAATAAAAGGGAAGCATTAAAAAGAAAAGATTCCACCCTACCAAAAAGTTAAAGAAAATTATTTCCACATTGACAAGAAATAAGAAGCTGGCTAAAATGATTTAAAACAACCACCATTTGTCGAACATCTATAAATGCTAGGCTGTTTCTGGTGCTAGGAATAGAAAGTGAGACCAGGCATAGTGGCTCACGCCTGTAATTTCAACACTTTGGGAGGCGAGGTGAGCAGATCACTTGAGGTCAGAAGTTCAAGACAAGCCTGGCCAACATGGTGAAACCCCGTCTCTGTTAAAAATACAAAAATTAGCTGGGTGTAGTGGCATGTGAGGGAGGCTGAGGTACGAGACTCACTTCAACCCAAGAGACAAGAGTTTGCAGTGAGCTGAGGTCACACTATCTTACTCCAGCCTGGGCGACAGAGGAAGGCTCTGTCAAAAAATAAATAAATAAATAAAAAAGAAAAGAAAAGAAAAGAAAGAGAAGTAGGAAGACACTGTGCTCACTTATAAGCTAGTCAAGGGGATAACAGCTTTATCGCTCATTGCAATACTATGACAGATGAGATAATTGAGGAATAGCAAAATTTTATGCAAGCATAGTAACCTGAGAGGTCATCTTATTCCTGATATCTACAGTTCTAGCTGCATGCACACAGGCCTGAGATAGAAGTAGGTATGTCTCATAGCAGATAGGAAGTCCCTCTATAACTCATTTTTATACATATTCTACAGACTTGGGCATATGCTTTATATAAGAATGCATTCACTATGAAGAAACAGTAGAAACTTAGCAGGGCATGGCAGCTCATGCCTATAATCCCAATACTTTGGGAGGCCAAGAAAAGCAGATTTGAGGTTAGGAGTTTGAGACCAGCCTCGCCAACATGACAAAATCCTGTCTCTACTAAAAATAATAAAATAAAATAATAAAATAAAATAAATATTAGCCGTGCATGGTGGTGCAGGCCTGTAATCCCAGCTACTTGGGAGGCTGAGGCATGAGAATCACTTGAACCCAGGAGGCAGAGGTTTCAGTGAGCCGAGATTGTGCCACCACACTTCAGCTCAAATGACAGAGCAATACCTTGTTTCTAAAAACAAACAAAAAGCATGAGAAACTCAATAAAGAATGATAAAGTTAAAAACCCAAGAAGTTAGCAATGTGCAGTAGTATGAACAGATTTGAACAATTTGTAGTGACTCTAAGTTACTAAATAATAAAGTTTAGTGATTTGAGAGACTTGTAAGAAAAACATAGGAAAATAAACTCATATTTTCGACAAAAACTTTAGGTAGGCAGAAAAAAGTTTTAAAAAAACTTCTTTTGGAGACTGGGATAAAATGAAATTTTAGTGAATAGTAATTATAATAAAACTTTAGTGAAAATTAAAATAATTGTTTTCTAAAGTGATGCACGCTTTGATAATACTTATTTTGAATCAATTGTATTACAAAGGTATACTTTACTATTTTATTTTTTTGAGAAAAGAAGAACTCTTCCCCTCCAATACACTTTCACCTGCTAGAATATAAGTAATATAAAGCAATACCAAGTTTGAGGACCTTGGCCTTATGGGCACATGTGTTTGACCATGACGTTAGATGTTTATGAAACTGCAGAACTAAGTATATATGTCAATAAATTACCTGTAGGATGTGGCTGTATTTTTAAAATAAGAGTTGCGAAGATTTAATAACTGGAGGGATTAGGGTGTTTATCTGAAAATATTTATCTTAGAAAATTCTCAGACTCAGAATACAGCTGTGTCTACTAATGGCTTATCCCTCAGGAAATTCTATATAGAATTTGACATGCCTAAACCTGCACTAATATATTCATTCATTTATTTATTCTTCTGCCAATTTACATTTATTGAATTCATACCAGACCCTCAGGATACAAAGACACGGTTTTTCAAAGACTTTAAATCTAGTGCCTTAGACTCACAGGCAAAGAGTCTATTGCAATGCTAGTGTGATAGGGAACTAATGTACACAAAGCTCTCATGGCTGTTACTGGAGGAGTGCCTAGATCAGGCTAGCCTGTGGCACGTCTTTTAAGTAAGACCCTCCACAAGTGTCATCTGTGTTGACTTGAATGAAAGTTAGGTAGGTTGATGGGCATGATGGCTCACACCTGTAATCCCAGCACATTGGGAGGCCAAGGTGGGTGGATCACCTGAGGTTAGGAGTTCAAGACCAGTCTGGCCAAGATGGAGAAACTCCAACTCTACTAAAAATACAAAAATTAGGCATTGTGGTACATGTCTGCAGTTCAAGCTACTCAGGAGGCTGAGGCAGGAGAATCACCTGAACCTGGGAGGCAGAGGTTGTAGTGAGCTGAGATAACATCACTGCACTCTAGGCTGGGCGACAGACTGAGGCTCCTGTCAAAAAAAACCAAAAAACAAAAAAACCAAAAGGCAGGTAATGAAGGGGAGAAGGTTAGAAAAAGGCATGGAGGAAACATTATTCAACCTTCAAAAACTCTACATGACTCAGGATGCCTGGACTATAGACTGGGAAAGGCAGATGATAGTGGATACCATCACTAGGTCACAGAGGACATTTTATGCCATATTTAAGACTTAGACTTAGGATTTATTTTGTAGGCTATGAAAAACCACTGAAAAATTTATAACAAAGGAATGACATAATGAGATTTGCATTTTGGTAAGCTTATTCTGGCTGAAGTAAGATAAGAAACCAGCAAGGAGGTTGATAAAACATTTAAGTGCAAAATAATGATATGGAGAAGGAGGACGGATTTTAGATTTGCAGCATGAACATGACTTGGTAAACAAATAAGATTGGTGTTTGAAGAAACTGAATGTGCTGGTGATAACTCCTAGATTTCTGGTGTGGAAAACTGGTTAGCTTATATGCCTATCAGCATAGGAATAAAAAAAGAGAAGCAGATATTGAGGGAAGTAAAATGAATATAATTGCGAACAAGGATTTGGGAAGTTGTAAAACATTTAGTTTGTGTTAACTAGAATCCTGTATTGAGGGATCTGGAGCTAAAAAGAAGGATCTCATATTGGTTTACTAGTGCTGCCATAACAAATGCCACAGACTGGATGGTTTAGACAACAGTAACTGGTTTCTCAAAAATCTGAAGATGAGAATCCAAGATAAAGGTGTTGGCAAGTTTGGTTTCTTCAGAGGCTCTTTCCTTGGCTTGCACATGGCTGCCTTCTCGCTGTATTCTCACATGGTCTTTCCTGTGTGTGTGCGCGCACACACACACACACACACACATCCCTGTTGTCTCTCTGTGTGTTCAGATTTCAAGTAGTTTCAAACTTCTCTCTCTTTCTTTTAATATGAGACACTTCACAGATTTGCATGTCTTCCTTGCACAGGGGTTGTGCTAATTTTTTATGTATCCTTCCTATTTTAGCATATGTGCTGCCAAAGAGGGCACACGTTTCCTTTTGGTGAAAGGACACCAGCCAAATGGGATGACGCTCCTCCCTCATGGTCTCATTTTAACTGATTAATCACCTCTTTAAAGTCCCTATCTCCAAATACAGCCATATTTTAAAATACTGGGGGTTAGCGTTTCAGCATATGAATTTTTAGGAAGACACAAGTCAGCCTATCACAGATCTGATCTGCTAATAGATCTGGCTTATTGACTGTAGTTGGCAATTTAAAAGCATAACAGCAATGGATGGTATACCCAATGCGAATGTGAAAACTAGGGGGATCTTTTGACTAAGAAGAAACCAATGAAATGTTATTGTAGATGCAGAGAAAGGACTTAACAGAGCTATCTACTTCAGAAAGGCTAGAGCAGTGGGTTACTTAGGAGAAAATTGTGTTATAAAAGCCAACAGAGACATTTTAACAGGTAGGTGGGGTCAGTAGCTTTCATTACTCTGAAAATACCACCAACATGTCTGAAATGCATCCATTGGATACAACATCAAAGAGTATATTGACAATTGTAGTGAGAGAGGTTTTTGGAATAGAATTTAGAGCTTGAGTGAATGAATTGTAGGAAGTGAAAAATTTTCCTTTATATGAGAGTGAACTTTTCCTTTATGATTTTTTCTATGTCACCAAGAAAAGGAAGGAGTAACAGGACTCAAAGATTTTCTAAAACGAGCATATGTCTACATTATAGTGAAAGGATCACTGAACAGAGGTAGGTTTAACATACTGGAGAACTAGGAGATAATCCGTTAGGGAAGGTCCTAAGGAAGCAGAAGGAGAAGAAATGCCAGATGTAGGTGATGGGGAGGAAGGCAGCAAATCACACTGCCACGTGTGTTCCTATGCAACAATTTTGCATGTTCTTCACATGTACCCCAAAACCTAAAATGCAATAAAATAAATAAATGGGAAAAAAAAGAACAGATGAGGATTAGCTTTGAAGAAAATAAAGACTGCTCTTTGAACATAGGAAGATCATGAGAGGCTTAGACGAAGATAAATTTCCTAAAAAGGGGTGAGAATAAGCTGAGGAGGCTTTGCAAGCATATTTTGAGGAATGAGAAAGAATCAACTAAATCATGAGATATTGCTGTGTGATTGTTTCTTCTTCCCACTCTCAGTGGAACTGAGTAAAGAAGGCACATGTAGAATGATGCAGGTTTAAGGGTTATAATTGGGGAAATAGATCAAGGGGCAGAAAAAACTGGAAAAGCAGTGGTTGAAAGGGTGCAGCATTAGATATAAGCTGTGTAGAAGTGAAATGAAGCTTTGCTAGAAATGAAAATTTTGTAGTGAACTTTGTGTCAGGGCACTGGAGGAAGTAATGAAGTCAAGGCAGGAGGGGAGTGAGATAACTGGAGGGAAAGATGGTTTTGATCAGAAATTGATATGTGGGAATTTCAGAGAAGGCTATATTTTCTTTTTTTTTTTTTGAAAGTGTGCAATTCAGTGGTTTTAATTTTTACTTAATTTTTGATATTTTATTTCACTAACTTTTGGGATACATGTGGTTTTTGGTTACATGGAAGAATTATATAGTGGAGAATTCTGAGATTTTATTGTGCACTTGTCACCCAAGTAGTATATATCCTACCTGATACGCAGTTGTTTCCTTTATCCCATCCTCTCCCTAAGTCTTTAAACTCCATTATACCATTCTGTATGCCTTTGCATACTCATAGCTTAGCTCCCACTTCTAAGTGAAAACATACAGTATTTTGTTTTCCATTCCCGGCTATATTTTCAAGTGATAATAAGTCCCAAGCTGAGGTGATATCAGTAAATATCTACAGAGAAGTTGAATAAATAGTCATTGGAATAAAAGATGACAACTAGTTTTAAGTGGTGAATGGGTCACAGATGTGGATGTTAAAATGCTGTGGAATGTTGGTAAGATCTGGTATAGAGAGGAGTCTCCTATGTATGAGAGCGGTGAGAAAAGGAGGCTGGAGACTATCTATGATTGAATGACCTGATTGCCTAGGAAGTGAGTTGGTTGCTGTTGTATGGTGAGTTGCCATGCTTATTTAATGTGACAAATATTTATTGAGTGGCTCCTGTATCCAGATCTGAGGTAGATGATCTATGGCAAGGGTCCCCAATTCCTGGGCCATAGATTGGTGTCAGTCTGTGGCCTGTTAGGAACCAGGCTACATAGCAGGAGGTGAGCAGCAGGCGTATGAGCATTAGTACCTGAGCTGCAACTCCTGTCAAATCAGATTATCCAATCAGCAGCAGCATTAGATTCTCACAGGATGGCAAACCTTATTGTGAACTGCGCATGCGGGGGATCTAGGTTGTATGCTCCTAATAAAAATCTAACTAGTGGAAAAGTTGTCTTCCACGTAACTGGGCCCTGGTGACAAAAAGGTTGGGGACCACTGATCTATGGCTTTTGTGGAGAATTTTATGACTAGCATACTTGGTAAACAAATTCAAAAGAACACTAATCTTATCTCATTAAAAATGAACATATTTACATGCACAAACATACAAGGAAGTTGGAAAGAGAACATTTACATAGTTGGAAGACAGCTATTAAATGTAAGCAAATACATAATTCTAGTTTAGATCAAGTACTGGCAATCTTTTCAGAGGTAGTAACATCAATGTTCTATATGCATCAGTTTTTGAAAGTCAGATCCCAGGAAGCCGGAGGGAGGTAGGGCATGGTTTCACAGTGAATTTCTGATTTCATTCAGAGTGATAAATCAGACTCTTGGGGAGGCTGGTGGTGGCTTGGACAGCAGCAGGGATGGGGGTCTAGTTAGCAACAAACCCATGGGCTTATAAAGCTGAAACTCACCCTTCTCCATCTTTGGGAGGCTTCCAGTATCTCATTTATTTTCAATTATCATTCCTCAGAGAGCTCTGTGGAAATGATAATTGAAAATAAAAAAAAATAACTATCAACTAGCAGAAAATACACATGGTAAGGATTAGCATATATTTCACATGTTTATATTCGGCTCTCAGATTGACCTAGAAAATGAAGTCCGGGAAATTCTATATGATTCTGAAAAATGATACACTGGTCTGGATGGAAGAATAAGTTGAAAAAATGTGTAAACCCAAACGTAGTATCACCAATGACTTTTTATTTTATTACTTTTTAGGGTTTTTGGTGTACAGGTTTTTTTTTTCCACAGAAAAGTTCTTTACTGGTGATTTGTGAGACTTTAGTGGACCCCTTATCCCCGAGTAGTGTACACCGTTCCCAATACGTAATCTTTTATCCCTCAACCCCTCTGAGTTCAAGAAGACTATGGTTCTGCAGAAAGCTTTATATGTAATTAACATATCTTTATCTTGATAGGCAGTAGACTCGTCTTTTGAAACAGATTCCATTAGGAGTGAATGTGTACCCTCCCTCTAGCCTTTATTATTACTGTTCTTGCTATTACATGTATTAGTGCATATGAATTTAATGTTTAAAAATGTATCAGATTGGTTGCTATGGAAAAAAGCATGACTCATAAGAGTCTTAGCACAGGTTAAGATCTGAAAGTTTTCTCCCAGCCTCTTATCACTGGCACAGACTTCACAATTCACGGAAGCCACCAGTGAGATGACATTGCCTCAGGCAGTTACTATTTTTTATATTCTATAACTTGAGAAGCTCAGGGTCTGGGAAATCATTAGACTTTTTTTGTCCTTTTAAAGTTGGAGACAGCAATTTTAGACAGCTTTCTAGTGGGTTATCTTTTTGTGTCTCCTTACCTGTGGAAAAGCCTGCTAGCTGCGATATGTAGTTAAATAGCTTTGTTATTTTTTTTATTAATATCCAGAACACCAAGTCAAAAAATGGTAGAAACAATATTTCACCATTCATTGTTTTTTCTTCTGAGTCTACCAATTTGTCAAAATTTCATTGTTTATAATAGTCTAGCCAGTTAAAAATTTCATAGGGTTACTTCAAAAACCAAATAAGTTTAAGCTCTGTACTCCTGTTTGTGTGATAATTTGAATTAACTTGGAGAAGGACATGAAAGAAAACTCAAGATATTTATTTGTACTCTGTACAGAATTTTACTCTTGAACAATTCATTACTGCTTGGACTTCAGTTTTCAACATGAGATAATTAGGCTAGACTATTATCATTTTTTTTTCCTCTCAGAAAAGTAAGCTGAGCAACTGTTTATTAAGTCCTATTTACTTGGTTCTACTAAGATCCATTTTGAATGTCTTAACATTTTACAATTATTATGCCTTCCCCAAAAGGAAGGAGCTTTGCCAATCCATTTATACACTGAAAGTATAAAGAATAGACTGTTAAAGTTCTTCCTTGAGAAGAGCTGTTTAGAAACAGTATCACCCGTAAAACATTGTTTAAAGGAAAAGATCAAATTTTGCAACTGGTCCTAGATAACAAAGAAAAATGCCAGTGTAGTGAAAGATAAAAATGAAATGATTTGGTAGCTCTATCATCATACATATCAACGAGCACTGTAATTTTAATGTTGCTGAAATTGGCACCAGGGCATTATTGATTTTCTGTATCATCTAATGGTTTCCTGCAAATATCTTTTATAAAAGTGCCTTATATTTCTTCTTAATAATCTTTTCTCGAGTCATATACTATCAAATCCTGCAGAGTACTATTCATTCAGCAGTAAGTTAAAGTCATTAAACATATTTCTATTAAAATTTTATTAGACTTGAACTAATATCCTGAAACTGATGCAATGTAATTTTACTATTCAACCAACCACCTTGATGTTATATGTTAAGAAACATTTTGAAAAATCAAAAAAAAATTTAAAGGACAATTAGGATGTATTAGAATTTTGTTTTCTGGCATTTTTAATGCAGGGATAATTATTTCAAAGGCCTGTTGTTATAAAGACTTCCCTTTCTCAGAGAACCCTTTCACTCGTTTTTCCTTGATGCTTTCATTTGGGCAAAAGAGATATTATCAGCTCACGACTTATGTGAAATGTGTTTTAATTTTGTTCAATTCCCAGCTGCTTTACATCTTGACACAG